AATTGAAACAAAACATAGAAAATTTGAAAAAATAAAAATAAAAGTGCCCCCCCTGCACACCCCTGGGTCCTAAATACATATGATATCTTTGCTCCAATTTGGGCTCCATGTTAATTTTAATGTATTTTTTCTTTTCTCTTTTTAATCACACATTTTTCAATTAAATAATACTACACGTAAATTAAAAAAATTATTATCTTTTAATTACACATTCTCCAAAAAATCACTATTTCAAAATGCATTTCCTGTTGTCTGTTGAGTCCAAACAGGTTTCCATGGGACCAAAAAAAAAAAAAATACAAAAAAAATAAAAATCTGAAGCTGGATAATTTTATACAAACAGTTTCTAAACTTTGTTGAAGCCAATATCAAGAGGCTGATCAATCACCGAGCTCCAAATGCAATCCACTGGTTCTTGAAACATACATAAATAATTCTCATCAATCTTGTAATCATCGCCAAAATTCTGATCAAGTGATGAGCAAACACAAGAATTCTCTACACAAAACTGATCAAGATTTTCTGTAAAAATGCTGGGAATTTCATATAAATATGTACCAAATGTGTCTTGGATTTCCAAATATTCATCACTTTTAAAGATCACGCTCTCGTTTAGCCATGGAAAATCGAAAACTCCACCCTCTTTGCAGCACTCAGATTCTGGCTTCTTTTCTTTATTGGTTTCTCGTTCTTCTTCTTCTTCTCTTGTTCTCTTTCTGTTCTCTCTCTCCATCGATTCTGTATCTTGAAAACACGAAAACCCGAACAAACAACGTTAGACGATTGCTACATACATAAATGAATCAAACAGTACACACACACATATATGCATACTATGGGATTTGGAGCTAAATGAAACCTTTTTTTATCCACACAAAAATAGAACATAAAAAATGCACGCCATCTGTCAAGCCTTTTACCAGAGCATAGTTCTCTCCGCCTTTCCTTCGATCTCTCTTTTTATGTGCATTCAAATTAGAGGCCATAAAATTTGTTCATTGCTTGTTCTCTACTTCCTTAAAATTTGTCACTCTATTCTTTAATTAAAATGATGCAAGCAAGTAATGTATAACTTTTGGCTTAAGAAAATGCGGGGAAAAATACGTGTCAACAACTTTATTAAATAGATGTATACACGTTTCTATTTTTGTCAATAAATAATGTGACAATCTTGAATTTTTTTGACTCCATCGAGACAAGACGAAAGGGGTTAGAATTCTCCCACCATGATATAACTAAAATAGAAACGAATACAATGTAGGGGTAAAACCCTAAAAACCCCGTCAAAGTTATGAAAATTTAAAACAATAATGAAGATGTACTACCTACTTTACAAATGTGAAATATAAAACAAAAAAGCCTAAAGGCCAATAAATGTTGGAAGTTCATATATGTCAATTTGTAAAAGGATACGAAGTCTTCAGGCTCAAGATGATTATACTCTTGATAGCAGTGTAGCTCACATCCCTATACATCTAGTGAGTCAGTTTCTTGATTTTCCT